CGTGTAACGTTACACCTGATCCTGAAATTTGATTGGCAAAAAATCACGTGTCCGGAAAATTTTGTGGGTGCTGCAGGAAGTCACCGCTTTTGTTTCTAAATTACATAATTACATTAATTGTAATATGTATATCGTCGATATATACAAGTAATATACGTACAGATATAAAAACCTGAAATTATTATTATACAAGTGACTCTTGATATAATAAACCTTCGATATAAGAAACTCTTGGTGTAAGAAAGATTTTTTAAATCCTAATTGAAAATTTTATAATGAAAAGCCTTCGATATAAGAAAATCTCGATATAAGAAAGATTTTGGCCGGACCTGGCAACTTTCTTATATCAAGAGTTACTTGTATATAATATAACAAAAATATATATAGCTAAAATTTAAAAAACTGTTATAAAACAATACTGTAATTATTTATATATATACGTTATATACTAAAGATATACTTCGCATGAGGTAGACTTAGCATATATTCTTATACCTTGCGCAAGGCTACATCGCGCGATATTATGTGGATGTGAAATAAAATTTTAATTTAGAGTATTACAGTATTATAATCTATGGTAAAAAACTTAAGACCTTCGTATGTCTATATTACTATATACTCTTAATCTAAATTATCTTAATTGTATGCCTCACCTTGCACAAGGTGTGTCGCGGGTGTGTGAATTTTATCATCTCGCACGAGATACAGTACATAAATATACAATATTTGTATTTTAAAATATTAATTATAAAATAAACTTTTGAATTTAACAAAAGATATTGCTTAGAAAGTTATTAATATAAATCATGTATAATTTCCTCTGACAATAAGATAACTCCAACCTAAATGTTACCTTTTGTTTATAAAAATTAAATTTAAATCAATACCAGTATATACACAACGCAAACACTGTGTAAATAGTAAATTTTCTTTCTAATGTATTTAATATGCATGTATATATTTTCTAATATATATAGATTTTTTTAAACTATATCAATAAGTTAAATACTTCGTTGATTCCATATACTTGCATCAGGAATGGGTTTGTGAAAATATCCCATCAATTTTCTACATTGTTATATAACCCAAATTTTCGAATATAATATACTGGTTGATCTGTGAGCTTTCACCTAAATAGTAAAGTGACTAAAGTTTATAGAATAAATTTAACTTGACGACTCTAGTTCTATAGGTAAAAGATATAAATCCCCAAAATTAGTTTTGAAAATAAATCTAAGTGTTCTAAAAATTATACTATCAAAGTATTTTAAAAACAAATATTAAAAATTGTTTAAAAGAAATTAAATTCATTGATAGGAACCAAATTCCTTGAACCTTCAAACTTTTATTGATCGTTGGAGTTGCTTTTTATAATCTTCAATAGACCCTTTAAATGGTACTACAGTTTTATCTTTACATAACCGTATATCTTGCGCAACTTGGGATATAAGACGAAAATCATGAGATACTAATACTACTCCTCCGGAAAATGATTGAATAGCCTGTGCTAACGAATCAATACTTTCCATATCCTAATTCACGTTGAGTTTGAAGCAATGGAAATATTTAAGTACAAAGCAAAAATAAATATAACCATATTTATAGTTTAAGGAAACTTACCAAATGGTTAGTAGGTTCATCCATAAGTACAATATCGGGAGTGGACAATACCAATTCTGCAAAAACTAATCGAGTCTTTAAACCGTCACTCAGGGTTTTGATCAGTGATGTCTGATGAGCCCCTGTAAGACCGTATCGGCCAATTTGGTTGCGCCAAAACTAAAAAATAATGATAATTGTTTGAGACTATATTAGGAATAAATATTGCGGTGAGAAATATTTATGAAAGGACTTACATCAACATCTCCATTCATATGAGAAAATTTCTTTCTCATATATTGAATAGGGCTCAAATCCATTTCAAGCTGATCAGCACTATGCTGACTATATTTAGCCAATTTCAAGTTTGTATGTCGAGAAATTCTTCCTGTGACGGGCTGAAGTTCACCTACCATCAGCTTGAGTAGAGTTGATTTACCAACACCTATAATAAATAAATAATTAATTAAATTGAACTTTCGGAGTAAGAACATTAGTAATAAATAAATACCATTTGGGCCTACAAGGGCGATTCGGGAATCCATATCGACAGCAAGGTCAAGATCCCTGTATAAGAGATCTTTTGGGTTGGTACTTCCATTATAGGAGAAAGAAACTTGGTCAAACTGTAATACAGGCGGTGGAAGTTTTTCAACATCTGCGAATTTGAACTTGAATGTTGATGGAGTCTCTACCTATGAAATTTGAGAAATGTTATATATAAGAATTTCTTCACATGTTTAAAAGATAAAAAGTGATACCAACCTTTTCAATTAATCCAGCAGCCTCCATCTTGTCTATAATCTTTTGTTTACTCTTGGCTTGCCTAACCAAATTTGCGTAAGTACCAGCAGAAGCAATGAATTTCTTGATATGAGCAATTTCATCTTGCTGTTTGTGATATGCTTTCATCTGATTTACTTCTAATTCAGCCTTAGTTTTCACGAAAGTAGAGTAACCACCACCATAGTAATTTAATTTCTTTTTTTCCTGTTTGTGATAAATAAAGTTCAACTCGTTAAGAATAAATATAATACAATTTTACGACAAGTTTATGAAACGAAACTTACGGTCAAATGTATTGTTTGATCGCATACACCGTCAAGAAAATCTTGGGAATGACTGACTAATAACAAGATACTAACAAGTGCAAATATATTAATATTTGAATATTTTAAATATGCCATAATTCAAATTTATAAATTGAGTACACCTACCGATTGTATGTTTTCAAATATTCTTCAAGCCACACACAAGCTTCCAAATCCAAATGATTGGCTGTTCAAGAATACGTATTCATGTTATTATAGAGAAGTACTCATATTAATAAAAGAGAATTAATTAAAATAAATATAATTACTAGGTTCATCTAATAACAACAATGTGGGCCTAATAAATAAGGCTTTTGCCAAAGCAACTCTCATTCTCCATCCACCAGACATATCTTTAGTTTTCTTGGCCATCATGGCTTGTGAAAAACCTAGACCATGAAGTAAAGTGCTGGCACGAGCTTGAAACGTCGACTCGTCAAGAGCTGCAATTCTGTCATAGAGATCTTCTAGTCTAGGATCTTCATCGTTTTCTGTCAACAAGTCTTCAACTTCTTTTTCTAGACTATGTAAAATATAAAAATAAATTAATAAATGATTTTTAGAATCAATCATTTTTAAAAATATATTTACCGAATGATTTCTTCCTTTGCAGCTTGAATGACATAATCGATGGCGTTGAGATCACACGGGTCCGCTTCTTGATTTAATAAATAAATCTTTAAGTAACAGAGAATATAATTATTAATAAGAAAGATTAAACCAATGATCTTTATAATTTTCAATTATAGAGCTTACATCAATATGCTCCGGAATTGGAACCTCTCTTGCAGCCAAAGATTCTAAAAAAGTGCTCTTTCCGCTACCATTTTGGCCCACAAGACCATATCTAAAGAATATAGAATGGCCATAAAATCAATATAAAAAAAAGATCAACTCAAGTAGGATGTAAACATTACAATCAAAAAATACCGTCTTCCAAAATTGAGTTCGATTGTGGCGTTTTCAATTAGCACACGACCAAAGAAAGACAAACTATATTGTTCGATCTTGATGTCTTTTGCCATTGGCTGTGATGTTAAAACACCGTTTGCGGTCCTCTCGCCAGAGATCTTTAACGAATCAAGAGATAGATCAGTTGCTGCAGTAGAGTTTTTATTTTTTTTATCTGCTGATCCAGCACCATTGACGGTACTTTCAGCAGTTGCCTTTGTGGCGGTAGCAGAGCCGCTCTTGGCAGCTTTTTTTGCCATGCGTTTTTGCTTTGAAACTGATGACATCGTCACGGTAAAGGTGTAAAATGGTTAAGATGAAAGAAGAAGCTTCCAACGAATGTGTGTCAAAGTACCACCGTTGTGGACGTCTGAACAAAATCGGCAGCTTTTTTTTTTTTTTTCCAAGAAAACTTTTTTCAAGATTAGTAAAACAACGGGGAATTAAATGGGCCTTATATACTTGTTCCAAACCACGTGAAACTTAACGCATGTTACAATTGCCGGGTAACTTATTTATACACTTTAAAGTACTTTTTGTAGAAGTGTAAAAGTAATATCTAAATATAGATTAGAAAAAAAATTTGCATAGACCATTATAATAACATTTATGTCATTTATTGACGGATTTTAATGCCATAATAAATTTTTAAGATACATATCACACATGATTAACATTAGTCTCACTATGCCAGTACTAAATGCACGGAAGAAAAGTTCAACTGTAATATAAAACAATATATAGAATGGAATTACGGTTTAAAATACACGATAAATTAGAAGCAAAGCTTCGTTAACAGTGCTTACTTGCATATTGAATTTCTTTGATTAATTGGTCAATACCGTACATCTGATATACGCACAATACCATTCAGGTTTCGTGTTAAAACCGGTCTGAACCGATTTAAACATGAAAAATAAGATCATACAGTAATACCATGTTATACCCGGGTCTGATATATTTCACCAATTTTAATTTTAAAACCTCTAAAAGACCGCTAAGAGTTTATATTATAGAAAGTAAAAATTTAAAATACTCAAATATCCAACCAAACCCAAATCCCATATGGAAAAATCCAAAATTCCAAACTTATTTGACTTGTCATACTAGTAAAATTCAAAATCTTACTTAAATCCCAAACCTAAAATTTATTAATTACAAGTTATATGGTAAACTTGCATGCAATTGAGATCTAATTCTGCAATTTGATTGCTTTAATATTTTGAAATTTAAAATTTTCATACTGTAATTTGAGAAAGCCTGCAATAACTACTAGTAATAATATTTTCGAGATATTTCAAATTTGGAATTTGGGCTTGGAATTCGGAATGGGATATGAAACTTTGAATTTGGATGAGATTTGGGTTTGTGATTGGTTTGTTCAGGTTTGTTTATAATCAAATTCCAAATCCTATGAGTTTGTAAAAAATTTGCCAAATAATTTTTTTTGCCTAATACAGCCAATGGCCAGCCAAATAGCCAAGTGACAACACTGTATTAGGGTATATAATTTTTTAATTGCACTTTTCCTAAGGCAAAACTTTCATTTTTGATAATCTTTTTGATACATCTAAACATACTCTTTCTTGATATTTTAATAGATTTTTGCTTAAACTATTAAACTATCAAAATTTTTTTTTGAATTTCTTTTGTTTTTAGAAAGTTATATTTATATATGATTCAAAAATATAAAAAAACATAATAAAATTTGAATTTATTAACAAAATTTGAATTTATTAACAAAATTTTAAATTTTATTAATAAAATTTAAAATTATATTAAGTTTTTCTGCATTTTAATTGGATAATTAGGTTACATTGCAGTTAAAATTGGCCCATATATATAAAATATGTTGGCTTTAGATGAAATCCACTGTAGGTCGAATAATCTGAATAATCGACAAAACTTGGCACAGATTTTTTACACAAGAGCAGAATCGCCACCCAAAAAAATTTCAAAGTAAAATTTCGCGCTTAGGGTTTGGGCCTTGCCCTTAAGTTAGGGCAGGCAGGTATTTTGTACATCAAAATTTTACAAGAAAAATTTTTATAATAATGCGCAAAAGGCCATTTCATAGACTAAATTTTGGGTTATAAACAAAACGAACGTTTGTCTTGATTTTTCTGATCATGCTACGTTTAGTGTTCCTAGTTGAGTTGCCAACTATAGCAAACATTTATTAGGATAATGACTAATTACAGCATTACGGCTATGACGCAGGAGTTGTACTACCTCAAGATTATATTGCCGTTGGTAGTTGCCGTAAGTAGTATGCCATGAATGGGGGTAATATGCCGTGAATGGGGTAGTATGCCGTGAATGATTAAAAATACAGTCGATAGTTTGTAAAAAATCGATCCACAGTACGTATCCGCTTCATAATCTGATACTTACAGAATTCCTGGGACACTTGCCGAATGATTTTTCGGCCGACCCGGGTAAGTTATTATTTCGGCATAATAGAATAGATTACGTACGTACCAATTTTTATTGAATCTGAAATAATAACTTACCCGGATCGGCCGAAAAATCATTCGGCTAATTTTTTACATGTGTCCCAGGAATTATGAAAACAGCTGTAAAAAAAGACATGTATCGAGTTTGTAAATATCTAATTAGCCAATCAGAGTGTCATCCGGTTCATTCGAATAAGTATTGGTATAGTCATTAGCAGAAATTGATCATTACAAGAACTTGTTAGTATGACCGGGGTGCATATCAATACCCAGGTCATAACATTTTTTCGATATGACTTTGGTCATATAATCATATGACTTTTTGGTCATAAGTCATATCGGTCATAT